ATTTAGTGCACGGACACCTAGTTCGATTTCGACTACAAAATTCTGGATTAGATGGAGAAAATGCATAATTCAAAAAGGACTCCACACCAAATTTGAATTCATCACTAAAATAGACTGTAATATCCCAAATTTTCTGAAATTCTAGCATTTGAGTTGAGGACCCTTGTGTGAGAAAATATTATTTTGGGGCCTATTAGCTAAAATATCCAAATGCGAGGGACTTAAAAGAGAAAAACATTAGGATAAGAATCAAGCTGATTTTTTTTTTCCTTCTTTCTTCCCCAGCCACGTGGGTTTCTTCTTCTTCCTCACCCCTGCAGCTCCCGAAAAATAAGCCCAAGCACCGACTTCCGTTTCTTGAAAAAAAATCAGCAAAAGCTTAAAATTTTCCCTTTCTTTTCTTGTTAAAGAGCAAAATTAGGACTTAGAAATCTTCCCCCCCGCAGAAAAATTTCATATCTGCTCTATTTCTTCCCCTTGTCTGTCCGCTGTTCTACTGGGTGTGAATCCTTCGGGAGTTTCGGTAAGAACTAGCTTCAAGTTCATCTCTTTAGCTTTAATTTGGCTTGGGTCACTCTAATCCCTTTTGTTTCTTGCAATTTTGTGGTAGTTTTCATGATTTCTTCTCCAGTCTCTGTCGGCCTCCATACCCGCCAGCTCTGGTTTTGGCTGCTGGAAAAATTCTGGTATGTTGATGGCATCTTTAAGTCCGAAAATGGTTAATTAGTTGCTGCCCTGCTGAGTTAAATTATTGAATTGCTGCCTTGTTGTCCGAAAATTTTCTGTTGTACAGGGGATGAATTCCAACAGCTTTTGAAACATGTTTTGAGGTTAATTCATGTAGAATTTTCTGTGATTGGACTACTGTGATGTTTTGTATGCATAGCCGGGTCTTAGTGCTGTTTTGCCAAGCTTGGTTCCTCCATTTTGTCCGTTGGAAATTTTCTGTTGAAATGGAGGAGTTTCGGTAGCCTTAAAACATGGGTTTTTAAGCTTGCTTAATGTAGAAAATATTCTTGATTGGCTGTTGTAGTATTTTATATGAAAATCCCATGATTAGCTATTGTTTTGCCAAAAAGGATTAATTTAATAAAGGCCTGGCTTCTCCATTTTTGTGTCTGTGGGATTGGGAAACCATTTATATATGTATTTGTGTATATAAATGTATATATACACAATCCGGTCAATGAAAATAAATAAATAAATGAAATTGCTTATAGAATTAATTCTTGGATATTTTGGTTAGGTTTTTGATTCTTGGGGCACTTTAGTACGTGGATTGAGTCTTCGGTTTTACGCGAGTGAGGTAAGTAAATTATGGTAACGCCCTCCGATTTTAAAGCACATTTTAGCTTGTTTTTGAAGTGGTGGTGGGACTAAACCCGTTTTACACAAGTATGATCGATTTGAAATGAAATTATTATTCTTTTTATTGATTTGAGCATGCCTTCTTGGAGTTTACTTAACTGCTCTGATGATCTGAAAATTATTTGTAAATTATGATTTTTCCTGTTAACTTCTGCTTGTTTTGTCTCTGATATGGTCATGTTATTCGTGTGCCCACTAGTGGGAGGTTTATAAACGCTAGCACATGTCAACATGTTACTGATAGAACCGGTTCGTTTACGTGACTGTTATCATGCTAGTGGGATTATACACTAGTAAATCGTGTGCCTGCCAGTGGGAGGTTTATAACATTGGCCATGACCTATGAAGGAGACGTCTATTTCATTTCCGTAGTCGTATCTGTTTTTCGTGATTATACTTGTTGGCATGCTATAAGTTTAATTAAGGGCTATTCATATTTACTTACTGAGTTATCTCATAGTTTTTCCTTGTCTACCATTTCAGGAAGCGAAGTCAAGGACGAGGAAAAACAAGGGGAGTGACGAGTTAGAAGGCTAGCCATCTTGTAAATTGAACATAGATTTTAGATATAAATCATGATCTTGTAAGCTAGACTTTATTTGGAGATTTTATGATATCAGAGCAGATTTTAAAATGTTATCTTCAAATTTTATGATATCAGATTGTGGTATGACAAGTTTCGTACCTTGTGCATTGGTGGGACCCTCTTACAAGTGTAGGGTGTCTATTGCAGCTCGAATTTGGGTTTTGGGGCGTGACATAGGCATTATCATCTAAATGACAATACATTCAACTTTGATCTCTCATCATGTGAAATATTTCTTTAAATTTAAATTTATATCCCCACACAAATAATAATACATCAAATTTGATAAATAGTTAAACATATTTTATAAACTAAAATTAAAAATTAATATAATTAGTATTATTATAATTTACTAATCAATTAGTTAATATAATTATAATTTATTAATCAATTAATCGATTTAATTAATTATAATTTACTTATCAATCAAAGAATATAATTATAATTTATTAATCAATCAATTAATCATTATAATAATTTTATAATCAATTTATTCATTTAATTAATTATAATTTACTAATCAATCAATCAATCAATTAATCAGTATAATCATAATTATTTATCAATTAATTAAAGAATACAATCATAATTTACTAATCAATCAATTAATCATCATAATCATAATTTATCAATTAATTAAAAAAATATAATCACAATTTACTAATCAATCAATTAATCACTATAATTATAATTTATCAATTAATTATGGAATATAATCATAATTCCTGAAATGGTCAATTGATCACAATTTACCAATTAATAATTAAAATTCGTAATTCTTTCTAAACTAAATTTCAAAAAAAAAAATTAAGGAAAAAAATTATACAACATTATTATAATATGGAGACTTGTAATTCAAAGAAATTACGGAGAAATTAATGATCGGAAAGTAACGGATGGATCTACAAAATAAATAACAATAAAAATCAGTTAACAAACTAAGAAAGGTAAAAACTAGACTAATGGAAATGAAAATTATAACAGAAGAATATATTCATTCATGCACATTAACATTTTTAGATTAAATATATATTATATGATAAAAATTCAAAAAAATAAAATTTAACTAACCTCTCCACACAAATTACAAGTAGAAAATAGATTTGGGCAATTGACTGTGTTTGAGAGAGGAATACTGCCCAACAAAAAAAAGGTGAGGAAAAGAAAACGAAAAAAAAAAGGGAAAAAAGAAGAAGATCCAACCAAATGATCATACCTTTCTTAGCTTAAATGCCTAAAAAAAAACACCAAATATTGGCTGGATCAAGCAACACTAGTTCTTGGTGTCAGACTGCAAGCAAAAGAAGGGAAAAATTGAGAGGAGATGGTCTGAGGAGAAAAGAGAAGAGGTTATGGGAGAAATTCAATTTGTTCACACATTTCAGTCAGTATCCCTAACCGAATTACAAAGGGAAATTATGGGACCTACATGATATTCCATCAACTCAAATTCCCTGCATTTTTCCGATTAAGCTCATTGGCTGAAATTTACTGGAAAAACTGACTTGCAGAAATCGAAAATCTACATTGCACTATTTCGGTCAGTTTTACTACATTAGCTCTAGTCAAATCAGAAATCAGTCACTGCATCATATTTTGGTCAAAATTATTACCTGATATATGGATGAAAAGCTGACTAGCACACTGAGAATACTATGCACTGCACTATTTTGATCATTCAATTTGACCGAAATATAATGGAGAATATAACCGTGAACTGCCTCACGTCAAATCGGTTCAGGTGTTTAGTTCGGTCAATAAATTTAATTAAATTGTAAATATTTTATGTCTTTCATTAATATTTAATATTAAATATACTGCATATTTTTTTAGAATTTTATTCGGTCAGTGAAATTGACTAAATAAGCCTTGCCTCTGCATTCAGTCGACCTCCCTGACCAAGTTAGTTTTGGCACCATTTTGTGTGTAATTTATTTGGTCAAATTGCTTGAACAAAGTAATATTTAATTGAATTATAGCAAAGTAGTCAATACCGTACCAGTATGCGTACCGATTTTGTTACTGGAACGGTACGTACCGGATA